AGTAACCATTAAGTTTGTGATCATTCACGTAAAAAAAATGTATATATATATTTTATTTGGTTTATTTGGGTCAAAAAATCACAACTGAATCCACCCTTCTGATGGGATCAGGATAATCCTGTTTTTTTGGATCAAATAGATCCCAATCTGAATTCAAAGTTTTGAATAACCCAAAGGGCAGGTTTGATCCAAATCAAATGTAAGATTGGATTACGTGGTCTGATCTTAATTCAGGATCCCTCTTTTACTTTTGAAAAACCCATTTCCAAGATTTGATCCAATCCGTGATCCAAAATCCCACTGGATTACTTTTGAAAAACTGGGCCCTGAGGATAAAGTCAGCTGTGAAGATCAATATAGGGTCCTTCATGTCACCCTGTTTCTTCTGAACTGAACTCTGTATATTATGCTGTTGTTACACTGAACTTTCCAACATTTTATGTGTCTCGGAATATCTGCTTAACAGATACTTCATTTGAAGAGACATTGCTTAGTGAAACAATGTATTTGGAAAGTTATACGCATACTGGTTTCAGGACATTACAGAAAGTATCCTGTGTAAATATTTGTACATCATATGATTATCTGACTTTCCTCTGCGGTGTTGTTTGCAGTGTTGAAATGTACAGTGTTATTACCACATTCTTGAATAAATCCTCACTGCTCACTGTCTTCAGCTCCATCATGTTAATTCTGACACATTTTGTTTATGCTTGACTGCCTGTCACTGTAATTACCCCACTGACCTTTGTAATCAGCGCCAAGTACATTTTTCTGAAAAATAAAACTTGACACTAAGGTAGCAGTAAAGTTTATCACCTGACTTTGCCTTGTGCAACTATAGGAATTGCAGCCTGTCATTTCCTAGGGGTGTAACGATTCTCCAAATCATAAAACAGTTTGTGTCAGACCCTGGGTTTGGATCATGTGATTTTGTGAGGTTTTTTTAAAACATATTTTTAATTTACTGGTTGCATTTAATTAATAAATCATGCAGGCATGTGTAGAGTGTCTTGTTGCTGGGAATGCCTGGTTAGAAGAGCCCGATGCTGGTTGATCTGCAGGGCGGTGAGTTGACGGAGCAGCGGTGAGCCTCCATGACCTCTCCGGTGTGGGTCTGTTCCTGGGTTTAGACAGTCTGGTCGGGATGGAGAGGGGAGGAAGGACCAGGGAGGGATTACACAATTACACAACTTCCTGCTGCAATGCCTTTGCTATGGACATATGTTACCCTTTCAAAAACAGTTACATTGAAATTTACAGATCAAATTATATACCGCAATATATGCCGTCTATGGTTCAAATTATACCGCAATATGAATTTTATGCCATATCGCACAGCCCTACCCCAAACCTCATGTGACCTTCAGATTAGGCCAAGAACAGTGCATGGAGAACTTCATCAAATAGGTTTCCATGGCCGAGCAGCTGCATCCAAGCCTTACATCACCAAGTGCAATGGAAAGCGTTGGATGTAAATATATAAATGTATCGAGTTATAAGTTTATTGTCATCGATATGTGTCTATATATTGAGGAGCACGTGGTTAGCAACTCAGATTACTCTACCCCCTATGCTTGTCCCTGTTCAGGATAGGTATCCGTTTACCCTGGTGTATATCAGCCAGTGAATGTGTGTTTCTGTAATTGCAAGTTGCCTGGAATAAAACTGGATGGTTTGAGTTGACGATCGGGTAACTCCTTTATTTATCTGGCGGGGCAGCCAACATCAAACACAATGCAGAGATAACACTCCACTCACCCCGGTTACAGTTGCAGGACTTAAAACACACTTAAAATATTATACACAGTTCAAAGCATCAACATGTACATTCATACAGGTGAAGTATGAATAAATAACACACTTTCAGCATATTTTCATGTTTTGAAGTTGCTCTACACTTTTAAAACTAAATTTAAAAGTTTGAGAAACTAATATTAATATAAAACAATATTTTTAAAAGTTAAAACTGGTGGCATTGTAAATCATATTCTGACATAGTGGTTCTTTTAAATTGCTTCCTTGGGTCAAAGGTCATCATAGAGGAAGCACCTCAAGGAATGCTCATTCTGTTTAATATATTTATAGATAAATTTGTTTTAAATTTTAAACAGAATATCACAGTTTTTTGTATATTTTATACATGTTATAACAATGTTTTCATTTAAGTTAACAATCAGATGCTTAACAATGACTTAAGCGATTTGCATTTGATCAGGAAAAAAATGTCGTAATTTGGGTGTGTTTTAGCTCCATGTGAAAGTAAAAGTATGGTCAGAAAGACAGAATTTCATTTAGGGATGTTACTGCGTTAATCATAAGTGCATATAGACTGTTTATAACAACAAAATATATAGCAAGAAATAGTTATTTATGTAAGAATAAAGGTGGAGATGCAGATTAAAAGTTTCAGCGTTATTGTGATCTTGTTCAAGTTCGTCATTAACTCTCATGGTATGTATATTTTGAAGACAGTTTCATGTGTCTGGTAACTTGTATAATGATGTAGAATAAATACAATTGAGATGTTCTTGTGTTGGTACACAATATGTTTTTACCAAATATTCAAGTAACTTGTTGCAATGTATGTTCTGCACTTATTTAATGCTTTGTTGTCATAAAGAGATTTTATATCTTATCCCTGTTGTAGGCTTCCTGCTACACGGCTCTGCTGGTCCTCTAACAGCCCGGCTGGGAGGAGCTGTACTGCTCCCCTGCTTTGTGGACAGACCCCTGCCTTTGGAGGAGCTGGAGGTGGACTGGAAAAGGACTGATTCAGACACCATCGTGCACCTATTCCAGGAGGGTCAGAGCAGACCTGAATCACAGGGGGACGCCTACAGGGACAGAGCCCACTTCTTCTCTCAGGAAATCCCCAAAGGCAACTTCTCTCTGCTGCTTGAGGAAGTGAGGACTGCAGATGCAGGAGTTTACAAGTGTGTGGTTTATACAGAGCAGGAGCACCATGAAACACGGGTGGAAATACAGGAAGCAGGCAAGTGCGCCTTTCTGATTTATGGCTTATGACACATGGACTTCCTCTATTTTAGTAAGTATAATTTTGTTGATGTATGTGGAGTATGGGTGTAATTTATTGGCCCAAAGGAGATTAGATTTGATATGAGTATTAGATATGTTTACTGGGGGAATGAATTGTTGTAGTTCTATCACAATTATTCTGATAACCTAAACTTTAGTTTTATTTCACTGAAAAAAAAATACGATGGGAAATTAATTATGCACTAATAATAAATACTTAGAAATCTCAGAAGATCATTTTTTAATTCTTGTCAAGAGGACAACTACTGGACTGTACAGAAAAAAATCAGAAAAATGAAAGGAAGTAGTACATGATTGGAGGGGGGAGCTTGCCGGCACAGATTAGTGGAATGACTTTATATAGTTTTTATTTTGTGGAAATATTTAATTAGATTTAATAATGAACTGACAAAATTCCTATTCTTCCAAAATAGAAAATGGCTGATCTTCCAATTTATTCATCTCCGTTATTATAGTAGTATGGGGGAAAATGACTATGGCACAATCCACAAACTACCTTCCCCTGCATGAGGTGGACTGCCTGGGGAATGAATCCACAAACTTAACGTGACTAGTACTAAGCTACTTCTTTTTAGACGGGTCACATGTTTATGATGTGTCAAGCCATGCTTCATTGGTGACCCTGACAACTCTCGATGCATTGCAGAGTACTTTACAGGCACAACTGTAATGGCAGAGAATGCTGCAGCTCTAAAGGTCTTAGAGTTCTGGTGTGACCAAGCTAAAGTTTGGTTTTTGCAGGCGAAGGCTCAGTTTCCTTTGCATGGCATCACAGATGACAGTACCAAATATCACTACATTTTTGCAGCGCTGGACAGTTCTGTTGCCACCAGGGTGCCTACTTTCAATCCCCTGTCAATTCCCCTAGGTCAGGATAAGTAAGATGCTTTAAAGACCGTACTTTGGAAAACATTGCAAGCAGGCTTACTGGCTTGTCTCTTTTCTGGTTTGGGGGATTCCAAGCCTTTAGAACATATGGACTATATGTTGGCTTTCCTGGGTGACCACCTGGCAGGTTTCCTACTGTTTTTGCAGCATCTGCCAGTAGACTTGCAGGTAGCACTTGCTATTCTACCCATAATGGACTGCTGCGAGCTTGCGAGGAGACTGACAACAGTTTCTTGACCAGGCAAACGGTTGGCACAGAATTGCGCACATGCAGCGACTCACCCAACACATCACCCATGGCCAACATTGCCAGCACTGTGGTGTAATACACCCACCCAGGAGAACTTTCACCATACTTGGTTTGGTGCAGCTGCAAAGAAGTATCGACCACATTGCTGTTTCTACAATTTGGGAAACGGGTCGGCCAGCACTTGTTAGCTGCTACAAGTGTTGGCTAATCTGTCAGCTTGCTATGCGTCATGGACTCCACTTCTGGTCAGCATTTCCTATGCGACGTGGGCACTAAAATTAATGTCCTACCGGCTTCTGCACTGGATGTATAGTCAGGGGAGTGGAGTCCAGCTCCAGAAACAGAGAAAGGTAGCCTTATTAAGACTTATGGCACAAGTAACACAACACTATGTTATGCCAGACAGCAGTTTGATAGACTTTTGTGGCTGCAAAAGTGTCCACCCCCTTGCTTGGCGCTGATTTTCTGTGTGCCAGCAGTCTCCTAGTTAATATCTGGACTTTCCACTGCCTCCCATGCAGGCACAGTGCAGCCAGCTCTTTACCTTTGCTGTAGCTGACGATTTGTATCACCTTCGAAAGAATTTCACAGGGCCTGGTTTCTCATCAGGCACAGTGTTTAGCACAACTGTTGGCCCACCTGTCCACATTTGGGCTGTGTCCCTGGTAAACCGGCCATTACCAAGGACAAGCTTGATGCACTGCGTCTTGGGATAGTGCAATGATCCAACAGCCTTTGGGCCTCTCTGCTTCATATGGTGCAGAAACCTGCAGGTAGATGATGCCCGTGTGGTGATTACTGCTGCCTCAATGATGCAACAATCCCAGTCTGTTACCGTATCCCTCACATTCAGGATTCCTCGGCCCGTCTAACTGGATGGTCCGTATGCAGCTATTATCAAATCCCAGTCCACCCACAGGACATCCTGAAGACGGCTGTCATCACTCTACTTGGGCTTATTGAGTCCCAGTGTATGCCATTTGGTCTTAAAAAATGAGGCCCAGACTTTTCAGTGCCCGATGGACAGTGATCTATGGCATTTGCCATTCTTACTCATCTACCTGGATGGCATTCGGAAGGCCAGTGCCTCCAGTAGTGAACATTTGCATCACTTCCATATATTGTTCAAGCAGCTCAGCAGTCATGGCCTCGTTCTCAACACTCACAAGTGCCAGTTTGGGCTGACTTCTATTGACTTCCTTGGCCACCACATCATGAAGGAAGGAATGTTTTCACTGCCTGCTAAAACTGATGCTGTCATGACTTTTCCCCCAGCCTGCTACAGGCAAAGCCATGCACAATGAACTTGTATCACCACTTCATTCTGCAGGCAGCCTTCCTCATACAGGGGACGACAGCTAATCAGGCACTTGAGTGGTCTGCTGAGAGGGCTGCAGCCTTTGCAGCCACCAAGTCTGTGCTGGCTTATGAGACCATGCTAGCACAAACACTGACCAATGCCCGTCAGCAGTGCCAGCTCTCGTTCATCTTCGAGTTCATGACTAATATCTGTCACATTGCAACTGCCATCAGAATTTTACAATTGGCAGAAGTCCCATTTCAGGACTGTAGCGACTTGCTCCTGTTTGTTGTCTCCACTGGCTGGGCCAGACCCATTGTCCCCGCAAGGTGGTGTAGGCATATTTTTGATATGGGGCATGGTCTCTCTCATCCCAACTAGCGAGTGTCACAGAGGCTGCTCAATGATAAATTTGTCTGGCATGGGCTTAAAAAGGGTGTGTAGGCTTGGACTGCTTCCTGCCTGCAATGCCAACATATAAAGCTCCAATGGCACACTAAAGCATCCCTGGCATCATCCAAGGTCTTAGAGTGGTGTTTTAACCATGTGCACTTTGGCCTAGTTGGTCCCTTACCTCCCACCAGGGGGTGCTTACAGTTGTTGACAAAATCACCTGGTGGCAGGAGGCTTCCACAACTTCTGCTGTCTTTCTGAAGTTGTCCAGACATTTCATGGCACCTGGGTTACGTACAGCATGTGCTGTAGAATGATGAGTAAAAATAAAAGTAAATCTTGATTTACTTTAACATACATTTACTTCAGCATGACAAACATGGTATAGGTTGTACTCATTCATTACCCAATCACATCACTTTAACGTGATCGCGGATAGCTTACTCTACAAGGAGTAACCTGAGGGGGGCGTAAAGATAATTTCCCCATTATTATCAATTATTATTACTATCAATTATTATTATTATTAATATTATTATTATACACACAAACACACACACACACAGATAACAAGGGAGGTCAACACTCCAATTTTCATTGCCCAAAGATTTAGGGACCTACAGACAGCAGAGTGGACCTCAAGGATAGGGGTCCCTCGACTTGGCACGCAACTCCCTCCCCAGACATCCTGCCTTACATACCACTCACCCAACAGGCCAACACCCTAAAGAAACTTTCTTCTAAGGCTTTTGTATACCCTGTATATTTCTTTGCTTATGATTGCTAGTCTCAATATACAGGTTATGTTTGTGTGTCCTTAGACAGTATTAGTGTTTTCTGTGCCACTCTTATAACCATGATCATGAAGTATAACCTATTTTACTCCTTTACACTTAAACACTTATATAAATTTAAATAAATAAATAGGTATAGCTACCACTGCATATATGTTCTCATGGTTATACCAGAAGAATCTTGAAAATTGTGTAGGGGGACCGTGGCGGAATCCAACCGTGGCGGAATCCAATTGGACAGCCGAAGGCTTGAAATGCGTGTGGATCCTTCCGAGCGCTTCTGTAAAGTTACTTACCCGTTGTAGGTAAAGACTCCAATTTAAGTAAAGATCTTTATTGTGTGACTCTGCTATGTAGGTTTAGATGTTGGACAACCACTACAAGGTAATACAATGCTAGCCTGGATACCC